TTGAAAGAACCGTAAAAAATTAGGTGAACTTTATTAAAGTTTTGCATCTTATTTATTGTTTGTGAGATATTTCAATTTTAGTGAAAATACAAGCTTAGCGTAGAAATTTAATATTGGCAATAAAAAATAATTTTAAGGAATCAGCTTTGCACAGTGTATTTTAGATCCTTGAAGTTATTATTATATTTGTCGTCGATTAGTATTGAACAGGGTGTTCAAAAAACTGCTAAATAAATTTTAACTTTAAACAGCAATAACTTGGTTGTTTTAAATGGGACACCCAGTATATTTTTACTTTGGAAGTTGGGATATTTAAAACTCTTCCAAACTGTGTATAGGTTCCCTATACCTATTTCTATTGGAGATATTTGTACCGTTTCGTTTTTTATCGAATTTTTTTTGTAAGATGTATCCGCGTGTCTTCATCGAGGTCTTTATTGAATTGGCAAAGCGCCAATCATAACAATATTAAAAAAAGTTTTCTAATAAAAAATATTGTTCTATATAATTATAAAAAGTTATTAATTTTGTTCAAATATGTTTGTTATACGTAACTGAATTAAATTAATTAGGAACAACATGAAAAATATTTATTAAAGGAATTTTAATTTATGATCGAATTGACAACTATTCTTGAGAAAAGTATCCAACAGTTTTTTGGTCACCCTGTATAATACTAAGTGACGACATATATAATAGACATATATAATAATTTTTAACTTCAAGGATCACTGTCCGGGACTTTCCCGACGTATTTTCCGGACAGAGGGTGTTTTTGAAAATTTCTCATCCCTAAATGATGAAAATATGCCGTGAAGTTTTTGTAATGAAAGTTTCATTAAATCTTTTTATACCTAACTGCAAACTTTTTAAAAGTATTCAGCTTATTCCCGCAAATAGAGACTTCTTTCCATTAAATTATCCTTATTGCAAAGAAATGGAATAGTTCACCAACTTTGAGAAGATTTTAAACTTTACCTAAATTTTCTTGTTTATCAATTTTTGTTTCTACTTTAAGGAGGTTTATCGGGTACGGAGGTACGTCTAAAATTCTGTACTGTGCAAAAACCATACTTATCCTATCAACTTCGACGTCACCTGTTACATGGGTGTTGCACAATACTGAAAACGTAATATTGACAGTTAGTAGAAGGGAGCGCAAAAACAAACGCTTAGGTGGGGAATTCTGGAAGGAAGCCTAAATAATTGAAGTGAGGACAGTGTGGACGATCAGCGGGCAGTGAGACAAAATAGTGAAAAATCAAAGTGTTTAACCCGTATTAATTAGCAGGTAATATTCTCTAAGTACTTTGTTGTTAATTGTTCTATGTAATCTTGTGATTGTGATGATTATAGATGTTTAATGATAACAATTTTTCTCTGTACGTTTAGCCTCCATTGCTTTATGTTCAAGGGCATATATTTTTCTAAGGTAAAATTGTTACAATTATTATTGGCGATTATTTATTACCTGTTAAAATATATATATTGTCGTGACTGCCCAGATATTGCAATAACAACTCCTTTGTTTCACATTTAACTTGTTTTATCATGATTACATTGTTCCAAAAACAAATAGTAAAGCGTTTCTTGTGCTCACTTTATGTCATACGCATATAAGAGCCTTGTTGAATTTACTAACATTTTCGCTCGTAAAAAGAATAATTAAATACAAAAAAAGAATTGCTAAAACAAATCTTCCGAAATCTCAACTCATAGCTGGATTGCCTCTGGTATGGGATTCCGGTACCTTCCGGCCCTGCCGGCTAACTAACACCAAACCTCTTCAGTTTTACTTGGAAGTGTGTATGTCTAATTCGAGTGAGGTGACATTTAGTGAGAAATTAAATAAGTCAGGTCTTAATTATCATTAGCAAAGGATTTTAATTTATGTCTTTTATTGTCGGTTGTTTTGTATTTATATTTGGGTAGTTAGAGCAACGATTATGGGTTTCTCTGCCATGCTCTTTCCCCACAGAAGCTCTAGATGAGCCTGATACTCTCATTTTATGTTAAATGGTTGTTAATGTTTTTGTTGTTCTTTCTAATTGTCACATGTTTAATTTGAACACTGTTGTACGTAAATAATAAAGTTAGGTGTATTTACTCTGCTTTTGATTTATCAAATTAAACTTCCCCTCTTTAAAGTTAGTAGCCAGCGCCTTCCGGTCAATTAAAAATAGACATATACAACGTAGGTATTCCTTAGTCGTTCACATATTTCAGGCCACAACTAAGTTTATATTTTTTCCGATCGAACCCGAAGTTTTTATACTACAGTACATTTGCTAGTGACTAAAGTAGTAAGCCTTTAGATGTGGCAACGTTACACTTGGCTGGCTTTGTTTGGATGCCTAAGCTTGAAATATTCACAATATGTCACACCTGTGAATTTCAAATAATACGCTACGTTGAGAACCGCGGCGTTGCCGCTATCACGCATATGGACGTTAAGTAAATCAACAACAGCAGTTTGAAGGAGAATTATTATAAATTATGTATATTACAAGTACCTAATCGATTTATACGAGCTGTCATACGGTTCCTTAGATATCGGTTTCCTATTTATACAAGTAGCTGTAAAAACTGTTTGTCAATTGCTGAGTTTTTTAAATGGAAAGACCAAAAAAATCTGCATTCTCATAAGATTCTGTACTAAATCGTGAAAAATTATTTTATTAATATCTCATCTCTTAGGTATCCAAACTAGTCATAATTTTTTTTAGGATTTTCTTCATATTAATAAGCTTATATTAATTTTTTTATGAATACTTGTTCGTCATCTCCAAATCAGATAAACCTCCTTAAGCAGTTCCTCTCAAGCATTTTTGACGAATTAAATGTCCCCTAAAATTTTATTACAACGTCCTTGTCCTTGTTAATACGTGATATATTTAAACGCTAGTTCAAAAGAATTTCAGACATCTACAAATTTTAATTTATATAGCAGATGTACTCTTTTGAAACCGTTAATAACCTTATTTTAATAAGCCATTTCATTAGAATGTTAATATTGCTAGCAAACTTAACATAAAAATAATTTTTTTACCAAGATTTCATCGAAAGATAAGTTACCTCTATTCCTGTTATAAACATAATGACTCCTGATTTAAATAAAGATAATCTTGGATTAGTAAATATTTCAGATATAATGCTCATTCCTAAGTTTAGATGCTTTACCTTTTTTAGTATAGTGCCAAGTAACTGTATAAAGATTGAGAATTGTTAAATAGTCACAAATATAAAACGTTCCTTGTTTCTAGCGCAAAACATGTCTTTTAACTATTTTTCATATCATAATTGTTCATCTCTTCTTCGAAAGAAATTCTTAAACGGTTTCTTTTTCAAAATATTAAGAAGTGGTGACCACCAGCTCAGAAATTATTTAAATACTGTTCACGAAAGCCTGGAAACCGACCTAACATATATAGTTTAAATTAACAATAATATAACGAATTAAACAGGATAAAAAACAGTGAAGTAAACAAATGATATAAAGAACAATAAATATGTAGTCGAGGAAATAAAGCACAAAAAGAGCCAAAATCTCCGAAATTTTTCGATCAAGTCGTATCAAGATGGGGTTTTTTGCATTCACTTTCTAAAATTGTGTGGAAAAAATATTTTTCGGCCAAATTGCATTTGTGCAGTGCAAAATGCATACGAAAAAATGCATTTTGTTAAAAGTCGCTGAGAAATAATTCACAACTCGGTTAATAATGCCAGGGATGGACTCAAATCAGGGTCCTGGGGGTTTTCGAGGTCGTTGATCCCGAATATGACCTTCAAATTGGTCCATCGCCGACCTGGAGCTTAGTTTTGATGATGAACGTCATCTCCGAGGCTTCTCCTGAATTTCAATCTTAAATGCAACGAGACTTGACATCCGGAGGTTTTTCGGGTCGGTGATTCCTAATCTGGCGTCTGCGAGCACCCTCCGGACACCTGGTGCACCGGAACCTGGACATGGACGTCATCTCCGGGAGTTTTCCTGTAAAATTCGCGTAAACGAGCCGAAAATCGCATCAGGGTTTTTTTCGGGGCGCTCTTCTCGAAATCATCTTATAATATAACGCATGCACGACTGTGAGCCCCCAGATCGCGGCCCTCGAAAAACTATCTCGTTGATGATGAAAATGATATTTAGTAGAATATTTTCAAATTCAAGTTAATAGTTGATTAGATTAGGATAAAATTAGATTATATTTGAGTTAAATTAAATTGAAGTTAAGAGTAGGTTAGAAATGGCAATTGATTTGGAAATAAATGATTTTGATTTGTTTTTGAAACAACACTTGCATACATTGTGACATTACTTCAATTTATTCCCTCTATTTTCATCTTGCCTACTTTAAATGAGATCAACAATTCCAAACAAGTTATTGTAGTATTAACGGCAGTCTCAAATATATTGAAAATTCACTGTTTATTGATTTTTCTGGCGATGACTCCGATTTCAAGGTCTAGGTTCCGGTGCACCAGGTGTCCGGGGAGTGGTCGCCGACGCCAGGTTCGAGAAGAGCGCCCCGAAACATCCCCTGATGCGATTTTCGGCTCGTTTACGCGAATTTTACAGGAAAACTCCCGGAGATGACGTCCATGTCCAGTTTCCGGTGCAACAGGTGTCCGGGGGGTGGTCGCCGACGCCAGATTCGAGAAGAGCGCCCCCAAAAATCCCCTTATGCGATTTTCGGCTCGTTTACGCGAATTTGACTTCACTTCACTTCACAAATGCAATTTAACTGAAAAACATAATACAAAGTTGCTAAATTTTTTTCACATAATTTTAGAAACCGAATGAAAAAAAACTTATCTTGATACGACTTGATCGAAAAATTTCGGAGGTTCAGGGCTTTATTTCCTCGACTAATGGAGCGCCAGACACTATAAATGAAAAATATTTGCTGGATAACATTTTGCTTGTTTTAAAAATAATATTTATGGAGTTACAAAAAATAAAGGCGGGACGATTAAGTTAGGTTGTTAAGAAGAAAACACAATTTACTTTATTAAATATTTACTTTCTTTGCATTATTATTTTTCACCGTATTACACTATGTTACATTTCAATTACTAACATCTAACTATACAATACAGTGTTGATAGAGTGTGCTTCTATTTGTATGGCAGCGGTCTGTCCCTGGTTATTCTGTATGTGGACACTAACTTTCTTGCTACCACTAAAACCAGAACGGTAAATTAGTAATTTTAAAAGTATTGTTTTCAAAATATGGAAGTAAATAAAAAAATGAAAAATACTAACAAAAATGTTGCAGAATGAGACAAAATGCATTGTCAAAAATTTATTATTTAAATAACTCGAACATGGTTTGTCAGATTCAAATGAAATTCGACACTAGTCTTTAAATTATGTATCGCAATAATTTCATTAAAAATAGGTTTTTTTAAATTCACAGTGGTCCGTCACAAAAGGTAAATGAGGATACTAAAAATAGCACAGATCAAAGAGTGGCTACTATTCGTCGCTGTTCATTTCTACTTCTTACAAATATGGCCAAAATTTTCTCAGAATACAGTTCGAACCCTGTTCTTAGCACATAATATATTTTTTATATATTTTAAATTGCAACGTTTTAATAGTGAAAGTTTGTCTCTGATCTTCTTAATGAAATTCGACGCTTGCTCGGAATGTGAAGTTGGTAAAACCTTTTTAAACTCAATTTTTTTTTTAGTTTCTTGAGCCCAAGCCGCTCCAGTAATTTCTCAATTCTGAAATAAATTTTGCTGTAGGTGGTAATTAATTAATATTTCACTGGTCAGCATAGCCATTTTCACAACCAAATTCATTATGTACCTACATAATTCTTTCCATTATACAAAACTTTCCTGTAAATAAAGCCAATACCAGAAATACAAAAGCTATCTTTCCATTAACCCTTACTTTCCTGAATGAAAACACCATGAAAAACCAATAAAAAAATCAACTTATGCTATGAGGTGCAGTCAATAAAGTTTTTCAATCTAAAAATCGATTTTCGGTAAAATCAATGGTAAGCTATCGCTCAAGTAATGCTCCTCTCCTTTCCTGGCACTCCCTCTTAACTGAGATCTCCAAAACCATGTCTCTGTCAAGAAAGAATCTGTAAGCATTCTGCCGAAACTAACCAGTGCCCAAAAAGGTCGAAGATGCCGAGTGTCACTATTCTTGGACCACCCGCAACGAGAACGCGAGCGTCCACAAATGAAAACTTTGATAAATTGCATTATTTTCTCAATAAACAGTTTTATGTAGAAATGCCAGTAATTTTTTAATACTTTACTGATTCATTATACCAATTACTAATAAAAAAAAAATGTGTGACGAAATTCTTTAATGTCGTGTTATATGTTTAAGTCTGGGAAATAATAGATTTTAATACGTTATCAGTTATTTTTATTAGTTTAATTGTTGTAAGTATTAGCAAAGTTTTGAAACAACCCTCAGCACTTCTAATTGTCTGATTTTTGAAGTCTATCATCAAAGCACATAAAAATGTTTATTGTCAATATTCTCGAAGCAGTGCCGATTATATTGGTTACACGAAGAATGTCACCCTGCATTTGCGCATCTGGAAATGAAAAAAAAAATATTCTGCTATGGGAGTATTGAAATCGAATTGAAAAACCTGCCCCGTGTGTTATTTTGGTTTGATTAGCCATTTTCGAGCAATCTGAGAAAATGATATATTTTTTCTTAGTCATAGGCGTGTTCGTCGTAAACAAATAAATAAACAAGTAGGTATAAATAAAAATAAATAAATTTGTTTACTTTGTCAGCGAAAGGTCGTTTTTTACCCCTTGGTGCGTTCGACATTTTTAAAATATTAAAATACGTATACACGAAGCAAACGTGAAGGCAATAACTGCCCTTATTACCGGTTTCGTACGGTGCGCGAAAGGCCGACGCGACGGCTATGATCTTCCGACCGAGTCCCGAACTCTATTCATAGGTAAGTAATCCTGTGTCCTATTTCAGTTTGGTGCCAAATATTGGAACCAATTCGCATTTTTTTCAACTTTTATTGTCTGACACTTTTACGAACAACGTTAAAACATTAGGTATTTTAATTTAATTAATAATAATAATAATATTTATTTAATCCCCACTGACATAATTTTACAATGTATAGGACAAGTCAAAAATACATGTGCACAAACATACACTAAACTTACAAGAACAAAATTACAAATTATACAATAATAGCAACAATAGCATGGAGTGCAACAGTTACACCGTCAAAAGATCCTTATCTAAATAATATTCATCTAAGGTATAATAACATTTACTTAATAACAGATCCTTGACTTTGCGTTTAAAATGCAATACATGTAAATTTTTAAAACAATTAGGAAGATGATTATTACATCTTAATATCCGCATATGAAATAGATTGTTCGAATTTACGAGTTCTATGCCTCGGTAATACCAATAAATTGGGATTCCTTGTTGTGTAATGATGCAGAGATGAACTATGTAGATATTTGTTCAAATTTTCTTTGATGTATAAATAAAGAACGAAATATATAAATGCAGGGCAAACTCATAATTTTATTATTAATAAAAACCGGCCTGCAAGTGTACCTAGGAGAGAGATTGAAAATAATACTCATAATTTTTTTCTGCGATCTAAATAATCTAACAATGTCGGTGGCATAACCCCACAACACTACATTATATAAGTAAGCAGATTATAAACCAGGCTGTAATAAATAGTTAACAATGAAGTCACTGGCAGTGTAATAACGCATAGTATGACTGATTAAACTTTTTAATTAATAAGGATATATGATCCGACCATCTTAAATTGTCGTCAATCAATCCCAAAAATCTGGTGCATTTTTTTGAAGTTATCGAATTGTTACAAACAGTAAAATTTAATGGGGCTATCGGCGTTGTGTATGAGGAGTGGAAATAAATACATTCGGCTTTATCAATATTAACTATCAAGCCATTTTTGCATGCTTAAATTTAACGAACATTTTTCTATGTGAAAGATAATGGACAACCCACTCCAGGAAGATCCCCCGAAATCCCAAGTTGTACAGTTTGCTTTTAATAAATTTGATATTCAGACAATCAAAGGCACGTGATGATCAAAGAAAAGTCCCGCCACCTGTTTACCTACATCTAGCTGTAAATAAATGCCATCTAATAAATTGCATGCAGCCGACTGCGTCGACCTTCCAGCCCTAAAGCCATGTTGGCAATTACTTATAATTTTAAACTTATCCAAAAAATCTAAAATTCGATTATAAACAACTCTTTCAATGGTTTTTGATATCACACTTAAAATCGTAATCGGCCTGTAATTCGCTATGTTTTCAGCGTCAATCTTCTTATAAATAGGTAAAACAGTTCCAATGTTCAAGATAGATGGAAATTTACAGCAGCTAATCGATAAATTAATTATGTATGCAATATGTCTGGCTAAGACAGAACAGCCAGATTTTAGAATTCTCCCAGATATATTATCCAGACCTGTAGAATTTTTATTATTTAATTGTTTAATTGAGTTTTCAACTTCTTGCGGCTGAACAGGTGTAAAGAAAAAGGTTAAATGAAACATATTAGAAACCGTGTAAGCAGTGGGTCTAAAGTTGCCGTAAAACTAGGTTAGAGTCTTCTCAGTTGTATTTGCAAAGTAATTGCCAAAAGCAGAAGCCACTTTTTGTGAGTCGTGCTCCAAACTTCCTTCAATGTAGATCGATACGTTATGGAATGCTTTATTTCTCCCAATTTCTCTATTGACTATATTGCAAACGGTTTTTGTTTTGTTGTTAGATTTATCAATTAAGTTCTTAAAGAAATTACGTTTACTACTTTTTAGTAGTGCAGTGTACTTCTTTTTTGCATTTATATAAATAAGGTGCGACTCCATATCGCCGATCGCATTACAAAGCCAATATAAGTATTTAAGATTCATACCGGCCTGAATAATTACCCGAGTTATCCAACCAGATTTAATTTTATTGTGAGGTCTGGGCTTGTATTTTATTAAAGGGCAACACCTATCAAGAACAAAATCAAATATAATTTATGTAAATAATTTCTGTAATTAAGAATTGTAATGATATTTTATTAAAAATAAATGGGGATCCATACTTGCTAAATAATTTTGTAAGTGTAGTAACGCTTATATTTTGCAATATGTTTATATTCTTTTTGGTTTAATAGCCCCAAAACTCTTTACAAATTTTTAGGCATACTGAAAATAATTAATTTTCATCTAGGTAGGTATCCATAAAATTTTCATCTTTCAGTCGTCTTTCATACTTATTGTTAGTGCTAATACTCATCGCTGGCTCTAAATAAAGTATTACGAATAATACATCTTATCTGTTGCAAAATACTATTAAATCGTAGGGTTCTATTAATCCATTAGATTAGTTGCCAATCAACTTTGCGAGTTTGAAACGATCTGCTGTAATAAATTCAACTGGAGTAATCGATTTAGTAGTAATTTTATTGGAAATTTCAAGTGAGTTATGTGAAGGGCGCAGATTTAATACTGTTCCAAAAAAAAATATATATTTTTATGAAGCTTAGGAAGATGATGCGGACACATAAATATTTCAAATATTTGCAGAATATTTCGACAAAATCTATAACTCCGAGTTGTGTCGTACATATGATGCACAGATATGTAAATATGATAAATATCACCTAAAATATTCCTAAACGTTTTACATGCGATCTATTAAATTTCAATTTCAACATGTGTCAACCGCGTGGGTACACTTTTCCCTTTTTTTATTAATGCCGATAGCAGTACACAATGGTACTTGCTTGAAGTGTTGAATTGTGTTCATACATTCAGATAAATTAATTTTCTTTTATGTATAATGTTGTGATGTTTGTCTGAAAACATGGTTTCTAATATATATGCACCATCTACACGATAAGGTATACAGGGTAGGAAAGTACCGATGGTCTATCTAAAGTTACGTGAGAGCGATAAAGTAAGCCATAGAAATCCATGCGATAGAGAAGGATGGCTATAATGAAGACGTCTCTTAGTCAGCGCCCGTTTCGCCCTTCCACAAATAAGATCCACTTCTTATTTGTGGAAGTGCGAAATGGGCGTTGACTATTAGACGCCTTCATTATAGCCATCCTTGTCTATCACATGGATTTATGTGGCTTACTTTATCGCTCTCACGTAACATCTGATACACCATCGGTATTTTCCTACACTGTACGCCTGATGAATATATGTGTCCTGGCTAATCCACATGTGAAACGCTTTATCAGGAGCCGACTTACGAAGGCATTTTACACAATTTAAAAAACTTAACATGAACTTTAAATATAACATTCTCTGAAACCAATTAACCAATCTTAGAAACGATGAACATCCAGAAGATAAAGGTTGAGAGTATATTTAAAATGAAATGAGGTCGGTTTTTACGCAATTTCAAATTATTTGAAGGTTGAAGAAAAATCAATCAAACGTGAATTTATAATTGTTCTTCTTAAATAAAATTGTTCCAAAATGCTTTACATTTCATTCAATTTTCATATACTTTAAGTATATTTGGAAAACCATAATACACTTTCTAAAGTAAAACAGTTTTGTTTATGGTCATATTAATTGGTTTCTTCTGTTTTCTATTTCACTCAAAAAATTTCAATTTAGGGCTTTATTTACTAATTACTTATTACACAATTAATCTTCATAAAAATTCATTGGACGGTATTTATTCGTTATGTTTCTGCGTATTCTTCAGAAAACCAAGTTAACATTCTAATATGGATTTTTTAAATACTTTCTATTTTTTTGTTAACATAAACTATATGCTCAGTTTGAGAATTGTGAAAACGAATATTTGCAGTTAGCTAAAATCTTAACTTTTCCAGTATATTCATTTTCATTAAAAGAACGCAAGTTTACATTCAATGGCGTGGTATATAGCAAAAATGCCTATTATAAATAAGACATTGGTGTCAATTTTTATGTAACTAGTTTTAATTATGATATACAGGGTTCTTCACGGTAAGTGGCCTATTATACGTTTCAAAGGAACCAAAGACAATATGACTCTGAAATTTTGTTTACGGGGGTTATCAGATATGTTCTCTTCAATGAAAATAACGACATCAACGTAGCACTTCCGGTTATACCGGAAGTAACTGTCAACTTCGTTATTTTAAATGGAATACCCTATATATTATTGCATTATCGACAATATAAATAAAAAATAAGTCAAAAGTGTTAAAGCTTCCCTGTACCTTTGAAACGTCTAATAGACCACTTACCGTGGAGAACCCTGTATATTTTATTCCTTTTGCTTAACGTTTAACTCTGTTTATAGATACTAAAATATCTATATTCCAACATGCACCAGTGCAAATTCACCATTTTTTTAAAGCGCAACGTCAACAAAAAATGGAAGCCCCGTAAAAATATAGAAAAATTGAGAAGGGTCAATAGCTATTGTAATTCCTTTCCTTCATTCGTGTTTCAATTTTTTTAACTAAATATTTTGCAAAATAGAGTAGTTACAGGATAATATAATCAAAATTTATATATCTCATAACTTGAATCAGAAAGAGGCACTTAAAAGAATAATGACGTAAGGAAATTGATGTAATTTTCGCTACTGATCTATTGTTGTAATATCTTGTATTATATAAAGTGTATCAGATCACATACCATCAAACTCACCTATTATAAACAACTAACGCAATTAAATTGTCTGGTCTCAAGAAAGCCATTGCTCTCACATTATCCAAGTGCTCAACAGAGGTTTCCAGCCTAACGGAATCGGGAACCACAAACTTTGAGAAATGTCCCATAACGTAGAACATCGGCTGTTTGTAATACTCCTGCAAGGTTGCGTTGACCAGAATTGGAGAATCGACATAGTTGCCGATATAGGTAGGGCCACCTTCTTCATCCAGGACCATGTTCCAGTCCACCCAGCCAGCTGCTCCTTGCTCCAGATCCTAAACAAAAACGAAATTGTGAAACTTGTAGAAAACATTAAGCTAGCATATTCCCAAAAGTAAACGACACATGTGGAAGAGAGGGTATGTCTTTACTGTCGGAAGTCGACCAATAAAAAAGTTTTGCTAAGATAACACAGCGCCACAAAATAGAAAAAATGATTGGGTTGTATTCTGTAGTAATTTGACCCACTCAGTCTAGATCTAAAGTCAGAATTCTTAGATTGTTTCGTGTTTGAACCCCCAAGACACTCCTATATAGAAACAAATTTTCGAAATTTCATCCTGTTTTTAATAGTCAGAGATTGGAAAAACATTTGAATACATAATCTCATTGCACTATAATCCTATAACCACGTAGCTGGGTGTGCAAGGATGTATAATCACCAAAATCTGTGTCTGTAGTCTCGTGGTTCCTTAACCCGTGGCACGCAAGCTTCTGTAGACCTACGATATAGGGCATTTAGATTTTTGCTACTAAGTCAACCGGGGTTTGTTGTCTTCGAATCACTGAAAAAATACTACGCCACGAAATAAATGGAATGAGCCATAGATCAGACCAGTGTATCTTAGAGTATTTTTATCCGCTGAATACAAATTAATGTCAGAATTCGGGGATCGTTTCGTGTTTTAACCTGAACATTAAGATATTGAGTAGACAGTAACTTGTTATCTGAACGATTTTCTCACGATCATTCATAGTATAAATATGGAAATATTGTATTGGGGGATTGTGGACTTACAACAAGAACTACAAATTCAATTCCACAATGTCTTCAGAGTATCGTGGTTATACATTCACAGAAAGTATTATGGGGACATGATGTTATAGAGTTATGGGGTTATGGAAGCCCAACTCACAGTCATGTAGTTCTGACACTTCATTGCGGTACATTTTTCATCAACACTACAATTTATCTATCTATTATTTATTTTACAATTTAGGAATACCGCAGGTCAAAAACTCATAATTGTTTTTAACTAATTGGTAACAAATAATCATGGAATAGAAAACAGTGACCAAAAGTACCAAATGCGTAATAACATAGTTGAACAAATAAGGAAGAATAAAGTACTTACTGAACGTTAGAAAGAACCGAAACAAGAAAAATGGTAGGCATAATTTAAAAGTAACAAAAGACACAAGTTTAGGACAATTGATTAAGTTGTTAGTAACTTGAATAGAAATTCGAGGACTGCATAAAATCTGATTTCTGGAACATTATATGCATAAACTACGTATTCTAAAACTTATGTAAATAACGAGCAAACTTGTTTTGCCACTTTCTATTTAATTTTAAGTGCGTTGTAAGTGGAGTTTCAGGTAACACTTGAGAAAACTATTCTATTTAATTTTAAGTACGTTGTAAGTGGAGTTCCAGGTAACACTTGAGAAAACAATGTACCTACGAAAATTACGTACAAAAAGCATGACACCCCACAGGTGTTTGGGGAGTAATAACCTGGTAAAAACAGGAATTTAAATCGAAAAAATAATTTAATTTAAAAAGTAAAAATAAAAAGTGAAAAATGTATAAGACCTCCAACATTTTTAAATTTACCTAACTTTTTGATTACAAAAGAGAGGACTACGACAAAGCTGATAACTGAACCAGAGAGGCAAAAGTGCATGTAGTAATGACAAAAAACTCATTCTTGTATCTAAAAAGTCATTTAGACTTATAGCAAGAAAAGTATTTGATGCCATTGCATGGTAGTACAAAATAATTGCTCTTCCCAGAAAGAAAACCTAGCTAGTGTTCACAACAAAAATGTTCACAATCAAATAAAAATATATTAATTACAGTTCGAGACAAATAAATTTGTCGTATACAATGTGTATTTGTGGGCAAAGCTATATGAGACGCAAAATTATTTGTTTCGGAATGCACTCGTAACAAGAACATTGTTCAAGTTTGCTTTAATAAATAAACGATTAAAAATGTATTTTAACCACCAGTAGGTTCCTCTGGCAAATTTATTTTTGTTATAACAATAACCTACTGTTTCTGTATATTTAACATAGATATTTTACTGGAGTTAATCAATTTATGGCTAGAAGATATTTTCCTCAATAGCGAAGGTGAACGCAATTGGATATAATTATACAAGAACACTGCGTGAATATGAGAAATATAGGTACACCGTGTCCACCTAATGCGCGTAAGTCCAATATCTAGGTTAATAAAAGATATAACTTAATTTTTTTTTCTACAGCCTACTTTCCCGAGCTGCACAAAATGGAAATATATTTGCATATACAGAGTGTTCAGTTTTTCCTCGGCAGGTACCAACTTAATTTTCTTAAATGGAAAGCTATATTTTTTATGGCATTATCGAATTCTACGTGAAAAATTAACGGGAAGTTGTGTTTGATCCCTATTAAAATATTAATAGTTTTCGAGATAATCGACTTTTCTTTTTTTTTTTCTTATGTTTCGTCACTTCTAGTAGTTGACATAATTATGATTGTATGACAGCTAGAAATTATTTTTTTTTTCAGGAACTGTAGAGTGAAGATGGCTCTTTCAAAAAACGTATGACCTGCGGTATACAGGGGGCAAAAAAAATCGTGCCAAACCTAATAATTTAAAATTTGAAAAATCTCGACTTTTTCAAATAGAACATCCTATGTTTTATGATTTCATTAGATGCCTTTCTGTAGACCCTACAATTTTTTAATAGCTTTGCCTATACCTAAGTTGCGTAGTTTTTGCAAAAAAAACCATTTTTATGTAAAATACCGGATCTCGAAAACTATCAATATTTTAATAAGGACCCGCTCTTAGAACACCAAGATCCGCCCTTATGTTTGTTTCGATTGACTTCTGGCGAAGCACTTACAGAGTGACCACTGAAGATGCCGACAGTGAAGAACGTCGAAACATTTAGATTAGACAAAATAAGGACTGAACTGAAAATCATGGTGGGCCTAGCGGTTATAACAGTGGGTCCGACCTTACAAATTCCAGCCCTAGAAAACAAGGGCAGGTTAAAATTTCCTTATGTAAGACTAAGTAAATGGAAAGTAATCGAGTAGTCCATTTGAACTAAGATCGTTGATGACAATGAAAGCCATAATTATGCGTTAGGTAATTATTAATCAATTATGTACCTGTCCCTAACAAATACTACTAACCCGCATACCGGAGATTTTGCTTATGAAGGAAAAGACAGTCAATATTAAGGTGACTCTGATACGAATCGTTATTATACAGGGTAGGAAAGTACCGATGGTCTATCTGAAGTTACGTGAGAGCGATAAAGTAAGCCATAGAAATCAATGCGATAGAGAAGGATGGCTATAATGAAGGCTTCTGAAACCGCCCGTTTCGCCCTTCCACAAATAAGATCCACTTCTTATTTGTGGAAGGGCGAAATGGGCGTTGACTATTAGACGCCTTCATTAAAGCCATCCTTGTCTATCACATGGATTTCTATGGCTTACTTTATCGCTCTCACGTAACTTCTGATAGACTATCTAGACTTTCCTACACTGTATTTACCTACTTATTAAATTTTATTGTCCTTTATACAAACAAATAAAAGCTATTAAATATTTAAAACAATATAATGGAATGTCTCTTATGGGACACTTATATGTGTCCTGAACCACAATAAAAATCGTGATAAGTACTGAAAACAAATGTCAAAATTGAATGGTTTAGTTTGATCTCAAACAAAAACGCTACGCTTGTGTACAGAGTGAGTCTCATTACAAATAAACAACATATATACGCGAAAAGGACACATAATTTACCTTTCTATATACGTTTATCAATTAGTTCCAGTAGTTGTTACATAAATTAAGTATGCTCCAATATATTCAGTATACATGTAAGTAATATAGATTCTAGGGGTCAAACTAAGACGATATGTTGCTTCATTTGGCCGCTAGAGGACACCAAAGAGACAGAAACAGAAAAACATTACCCGTCTGTAAGCGTTTCAACTTCAATTCTTGTTTTTGTTGTAAATGGGATTAAACAAAGGAATTTTCAACCATCTTTTTTTCACCTCAAAATGTCAATTTGTTTTTAGTTACTTACGTCCAAAATATCTTTAATATACTTTTCCCCTCTGGACCAGCTACCTTTCTTTACAGATTTGTCCAAGCCCAACCCTGCTAGATATCCTGTGAAGAAAACATACAATTTTTATATGTCAAGTTTTTCCTAAATTATACAATCTATTTAAAATATTTAATAAAGGCATTGCTGTATAAAAACATTTTAATTACCATTGCATGCTTCTGATGATATAAAGAACCAATCATCTTTATCAATGTTCAAAATCTGCAAACTAGAAGCTGGTACCAATAAATTTGCATACCAATGAACTGCAGCTCCGTCAGCATAACTCATTGTTTTTTCATTGTCTAGCAACTGAAATGAGATACACTTTCATTAGTAATAATTAAAGTCAACAATTTGTTTATATACTCTCAACAAAGTTTAACAATACACTTATAGTACCAGATATGAAAAAATTTAAATTTCTAAATGACCAGTGAGTTCTTAGTTCTTTTTCGGTCGATAGCCGCACGGTTTAAGGCGTCAGTATTTAAATGTGCAAATTTCTGCCCGAGTTCGATTCCCGCGGCCGGTAGACCGTAGATTAGCTATGCTTGTACGGAGGATTGACACCGGTTGGCATTTAACCACCCCCCTAATTAATGAGGTTTTCCAGGTTTCCCTCATTCCTGCACTGAATGGTGGTTAGGGCCTACTAACATAAGTCGTTCCTGGGTGCAAATGCGGCCTGCTTAATAATAATACGCCGCCTCCTCTCCCGCACAAGTCTACGACTTATGGGCTAATTCTCGTGGTTAGAATGAGTAGTAGAGATATTATTATTATTATTTTTCTTGGTACACTCTGTATAATAATAATTTCTGTTTCAGCTTTGTTGCAAGGAAATTTGAAAGTATGATAAAATTGGCCCTAAATCCAAGCCGTCTAGATTTTATTTGGATCGTTTCGGTCAGAAAGCAATTTTGAGTCACTGAATGGTATATATCTGCTTGGTAAATCCTACTTGAAGCTACCTTTATGAAAAACGAAAAGCTGTAAATCCCACATGTGCGTAGAAACTATTTTTGGCATCACTGTAATAGAGAAAAGTCAGCAAAGCTTTTAGACATTTAAGAATTCACGAAAAAGGTATAGCTAATAGATGCCTTTATTATCTAGACATTTGTTTAATCTGAGCAAAAATTGTGCTATAATAAAGAAAAGTATATATTTGAAAGTCAGAGAATATTTATTAGAAACCTGGGGCGTTATATTTATTAAATTATCTTTTTGACATACAGATTATCAAGGTTTTGAAAAAAAATATTATAAAGTATCTAAAAGTCTTTTAAGCAAATGAAAGTATAATATGTATAGAGATTTTGTGTACACAATGGAGTTTAACATAAAAAAATTCAACACAGACCGGTGACGTAGATATGAAATATTAGGTCACTGGAAAAAAATATATGTTTTTGTGTTATTTTTGAAATGTAAATCTTATTTTGATCTCTTATCGGATTGGTACAAATTAACAATTTTTAACGATGATGCCCTTAGATAGATATAGAATTATCTACATGGTGTTTAAAGTATCGTCCTTGTGCCTCAATATAGGTACTTTGCGAATTAGAATATTACAGAAAATTTGCTTCTTTTTTTACCAATGATGCCACGATTTTTTAAAAATATCTTGCACCTCAAATTTGGGAGTTGCAAACGCAATTTTTTTTAATTTTTAGTTTTAACACATTTTGTGTTGCATCCCATAATTTAAATAAATTCTACGTTATACAAAAATTAATTTGCACATTTCTAATTATACTATTATATGAAATTTCTGTTCTTAATTATTATTGTCTCCTGCTATGGTTAGTGCTGAAAGACACTTTGCCAACTTTTTTTTTAATTTTTGCGAATTTGCATAAGAAAAGGTAATTGTTTGTGCACATTTCTTAAACAGCTAATAAGTAGGTTTAGGACATACTTTTTTCAGTATTTTTGTCTTGTACATTAACTAAATATAAATCTTACCAATAATAGAACAGGTAACGTGATCCTGTTATCGTCATGTAGCATAATTTTTAAATCGCTGAATGCTGAATTTCTTATAGTTGGTCCCAAATTCTCACCTATCCATTCATTCTGAAAATAAAAATGAGGACGTAGGTAATTACAGATTTAAAAATTATATGGGACTGTGAAACAAATGACGGTTTACTTAGTGGGTAGGCTTTTATAATTTGTCAAATACATTACATACAAAAATCAGTTCAATATAATCAAAAATTCTGTGTAATTACTAAAAATTAAGTCGGTATCTTAATTACCTATCATTATAACTATAACAATATAACACGCAAGTATAATTATGAATAATTACATAGATGTAGACGCATAGACAATAATTGTCTGTAAACAATAGTTATTGTTAATATGAATGATATCAATCATCTACAGTTTGTTCCATGGCTAAAGTTCATACATTTCTGAAGAAATCACAACTTGATGACTTGCTGAACACGTTTTTTTAGTATCTTCTAAACAGTACCAAATTTAGTATACGTTTTTGAACACTAGTATTAGAAAGCCAGAGAAATCACTTCACTTTGATAAAAGGAAATGAATGAATCATGGTAATTAAACAAATTACTACTCCTCAAAAATTTTGATAATGGGCAAATTAAATTTAAAAATATACTTTGTCATATCGTAGTAAGTACAAAAATAACACATCAAAGGAAAGCCGAAGGAATGAAGAAAACTATAACTTTTAGCGTATTGCGGACACATAGAAATAGTAAATAGAAAATAAATTTATAAAAGGCAGACCATTTATTATGTTATTATACCGGAAATTTCGTTAAAAACACCTCAACCGTTAGTAAAAGAGAAATTGACGTTAATTGCTCTAAAGATACTACAAACTGACAATATACATTTTTTAAGGCACTGCTTTATTGACAGGCGATTGAATTCTGTCTTATTTTAATTGATGATACAAACGAGGTCTGTTCAGATAATAACCTAAATTTTTTAATTAAGTGCTAATGGAGATATTTAGTGATGTGCAGTTGGCAGCATTACGTTGCGCATGACCTTCTCTGTAACCACATCTTTTTGGTCTGTTGATATTGACAATTTTTGAAAGGTGAAATTTTCTAAAACAACGATGCAGTGTAAAATTTTGTGTAACTAGTTAAAACTTTCACGGAAACGTTTCAACTTTTGAAGTAGATGCTCTGGGTCGTACACAATGTTACGAATGATTTTCATGATTTAAAAGTGGTCGTCGGTCATTTGAAGATGAGCCTCGACCAGGAAGATATTCGATTTTAGCTGATGAGTCTCACGTTCAGAAAGTCAAAGATCTGGTGCATTCAAACCGCCGATTAACTGTCAGAGGAATTGCAAAAGGGATTAGCATTTGAATTGGGCCATCTGATGAAAATTTGACGAAAAATGGTGCATACATCGAGTTGCAGCAAAATTTGTTCCTCGTTTGATGACCGAACAATAGAAAGAAAATCGTTGAACGATCTAGTAACGACGAAACGTTAATTCAGGGATCATAACGGAAGACGAAAGTTGAATTTACGGCTACGACATCGAGACAAAAGTTCAATCATCACAATGAGGCAAAGGACCTCCACGCCCCAAGAATGCACGTCAATCTCGATCCCATGCTAAACTGATGCTCACTGTTTTTTTTTTTGGAATGTAATGGAATTATGAGTTTTGAATTCTTGCCTCAAGGATCTTTGTCAATTTGTTTGTTTTGTGCCAAAAATGATAACACTGTCCTCCTTCACCCTCCTTACTCGCCTCACCTAGCACCTAGCGATTTTTCTTTATTTCCGAAATTAAAATTAGTGGTAAAACAACGCCTTTTTTAGACTAGTGACGACATCAAAGCAAAATCGTCATACACTTTACAAGCCATTTCAAATGAAGATATCCTGGACTGTCTTGCGAAATTGAAACACCGCTGAGAAAAGCAATAGGAGCTGGAAAAAGTGTTTGAATAGGGGAGCACAGCATTTTGAAGACAGGGAGACAGGGACCAATAATATATAAAATTAATAATTCAGTTTTAAAAAAAAGGTCGGTTATTTTCTGAACAGATCTTGTACTTAATCGCTTAATTTCATAGAAATTTCAAACAAATCGTCATATAGATAAATCTCATTTAAGATTATAAACATTATTATTACGTAACAATTACGTGCCGATAATATAAGTATTTCTGCTTATAACTTTTATTATTTTATTTTATTTTATTTTATTTTATTTTATTTTATTTTTTCGTGCAAAATTATATTGTTTGTCAGCTCCCATTCTATAATATGGGTGACAATAATGTGTAGCTTAAATGGCATTTATCTCTATGATTATTTTGTGCTTTCATAACACATTTGCTATTTATTTATTTTTATTGCAAAACTGTTATCTGACAACATTAGTTAATAATTTTTTAATTTATAATCTGATTAGGCTGCAGGACTTTATTTCCTCTCCATTGGGTTTGTACCAAATTTCATGAAAAAATATTCAACTTTAATTGCAAAATTAAATGTGTTTTATCGGCATAACGCCACCTATGTTGCCTGACATTTTAAAACTATTTCATTTTTAATATTCTGCTTTCACAAGATTTGGAGGTTCAAGAAAATTATTATGCAAGAAAATTAATAAATAATATTTCTAAAAAAAATCTGTTTCGTTGAAATTTCTATAATGAAAGTCGTCATAGCTTAGTGATCATTAAAGATTTTTTATAGTAATATAAAGTAATCTTACAAACTAGACTAAGGATTTGCGTTACCGGAAAGGAGCAGCATAATTCTCCATTAAACAGCAACAATCAATATGGATATGGAAGTATTTTAATATTTTCATAATACTAATATTGGGAATTATGGAATTATTATTAATATTATAATAATATTCTTCCATAGTAAGCACTTACCATTTGCGAGGGCAACCAACCCATGGAATTAATTTTCGAAAAGAATTTTGGAAGGTATCCATCAATAGGCTCATTCTGCGTCGTCATACCCCAGAAAGAGATGTTCTGCTTATCGTACTCTTCGAAAAACCTCAAAATGTAATCGGCCCAAAGTTGATAGTATTCATCCTTGAGACTACCTATGCCAGACCAATCGTTGTTCGTTTTCATCCAAGTTGGCGCTGTCCAGGCAGAGGCAAATAGTTTAATATTGTTGTTTCTCAAGGCCTTTGCTTGTAGAATAAAAGGTATCTAGAATAAAATGTAGAGGTTAGTGTATGTCAAACAACAACAAAATATTCCACATTGAATTTATATTTGTCATATTCGACATTAATATATATCTATACTATAACTAACGCGCAGTGAAACTGGATTTAATGTTGCGATTTAATTTAAATTTTGTACAAAACTAAAATCAATTGCAAGCACAAGATCAAAATTATATTAATACAGATCTGTACTAATAACCAATGCGTAGTAAAATTGGTTTTGATGTTGCGATATAATTCATATGCGCAGTGAAATAGGTATTGATGTCGCGATTTAATTTATATTTTGCAGAAAGCTAAAATCAATTGCAAGCATGACAAGATGAAAATTAAATCGATAATTGTCTTGGGACTGGGTCTGTATAATATCCAAAACTACCATTGAAATGTTCTTATTTTAAACATTTAACTGAAATTTCAAAAAGTAAAGAAACTACTAAATGTTCTTGTCGTAATTGTAACTGTTGAATGTAAATAATGTATTATTAATAGCAATTGTGAGTTACCTTGTATATATATTTTTATGATAAGATTGCTTGATTAGTTTTTGTACAATTGTTATTGCTATAAAAACGACCGCGCTCGACACCAGGCAGTCAGTCAGTTAGTAAAAAATTGTAAGAATTAGCCCAGTTATTAAACAATTAAAGTTAGCTATCGTGTCTTAATTTTCCTACAATAAGTAAAGTATTCAACGGTAACCAAATGGATTTTAGGACATCTTGACGAGCATCTCGAAAAACTGCAATAATTAGGTAAAATCTACATCCTTTCTAGTCCTCACCGATTTTATAACCAATTGATAGTCGAACACTTTAATATTACATAGAAGTAATTATTGCGGCATCTGAACATCTCATCTTACGAAAAAATCGTAATCGTCTTTCACACAATCAAAGCAAATAACAGTTTATTAATTTGTTTTGATGAGACTGGTTCTGACTACATCAAATCGATTATCTAATCGATATATGTAAGTATCTGTTCTATTGTTGTTCTTCCAGCTTACAATACTGCAAACATAGAGCATGTGGATAACATAGAGTTATCAAAACAGTGTCAGATCTTCTGGAACTGTTTTAAAAAAGTTTGTTAGTTTCTGAATCTATCTAATAGGTGGCATATGCATTGACATTTGAAATATGATCATGAATAAATTGAGGTAAAAACTGAAATATAATTCGCAGTATTTCTATCGCTTCTAATTTCACTGTAAACAAACAATTTTCGGACTCGAAATTTGCATTTTATCTACCGGTTTTTTATATATATATACAGGGTGTTTGCATTCCTTGAAAATTGTGATAGAGGGCACAAAAATGAGCAACTTTTATTAAGCAGCTGATGGTCTAAATACTTCTGTTTTCGAGAAAATTATGAAAATTAACCATAAATATAAGCCGACCCTGTGCATCTTGTGCACGTGCGCTGTGTGTTGCTAAACCGGTGTACAAAATGTTCTCTGATTAAGAACTAGCAGATGTGGTGTTAATGTCCGGAGAATATTAGTACAATTTAAATGAGACTTCGTTTGTAAGCGGTCCGTTACCGCAACAGACGACAATATAATACTGCAAAAAGTTATCGGATGCTGGAAATGTCCATCTGACACAGGAAGACCGAAACGTGTTTTTGATAACGAAGAAAACCTCATAAACCTCTTTGAGGAAGATCCAAGGCGCAGTACTCGCGACATTGGTCAAGAAGTGGATGTATCTAACAGTACCGGGCGGCGTGTACTTCGGGAACAATTATTACACCCCTATCATGTACAAAGGGTTCAGGAATTAAATAACAATAATTTTCATACCCTTGCGAAATTTTGCCAGAGGTTTCGACATCAAATAGCACAAGATCCGGATTTTGCAAACACGATGCTTTTACGAATGATTTTACCAAAGACCTCATACTAAACATTCACTGTTGGTGTGTGCAAATCCTCACGTTGCACAGAGATTGCAATTGCAGCAACAGTTTTTAATGAATGTGTGGTGTGGTGTTTTTGGTGACAGAATTTTGAGCGTCGTTTGGAAGCATGTTTATTAGCACATCGAAACGACTTTGATCAGTTGTTGTAGAGCATATCGTCTACGGGTAAGTAATTTGTTTAATCGTTTATTTTTTTGTGTTAGTTTTAAACGTGATTTGAATAAATTTCAGCATTTAAACAAAATTTAAACCGTCAAAACCGCCATAAGCGCTTCCGCATTGCGGCGCGCGGCAGCTTCGATATCAAAGCTACAGCTGACTGCAGCACCAGGAACGGCCTTAAATTTGTTTAAACCTTCATCTGAATTTTTTTTTTCAATTTAACAAGTAATGTTTTAGACCATCAGTTGTTTAATAAAAGTTGCTTATTTTCGTGCCCTCTATCACTCTTTTCAAGGAAAGCAATTATTTTTCCAAAAATTTATTTTCAAATTACTCTGAGGGTTGTTTGCGGTATGCGAAATAAAAACCACTCTAATTGCACAAAAAATCGCATACTTTCACTAAACGGAGGATTGAAGAATCACGTCGGTTGAAAGATCACGTCGGTTGAAAGATCACGTCGGTTGAAAGATCACGTTCGTTGAAAAATCACGTCGGTTGAAAGATCACGTCGGATGAAAAATCACGTTGGATGAAAAATCATGTCGAATCACCACCACTTGAGGGTCGCTTTCGGTGTACAGCAAAATATAACTCTCTCTCTCTCTCAACGGTAAATAAAAATATTTTTATTGAAAACAAAGTTAGTGAAAAAGAATAAGTGTTGTCGGGGCGAGCGTTCGCTGGAGAGCCTCTTGATGTGCAGTCACTCGCAAGTATAAGTATCTGATCCTTGGCGCCAATCTGCCGTAGTACTCTTCCGGGAACCATATCCCGCGTCGCACATTGTTTCTTGTCGCTTACAACGATTAGGGCGTCCGGCGTCAGGCTGGCGCTCTTGACGTAATACCTAAAAATGGGTCACTCGCAGACATGTGTACCCACAACTCCATAAAGTATTTCTACTTTCCTAAATGCGTGTCTGTCTATTTTTTTATTATGCAATGGCTGCGTGCAGTTGTTTACTTCGTTGGAATATGCAAATGTAACCCCAATGTAGTTAGAACTTCACGATAGCAGTGTTTATAAAACCGTAGTTAGACAATTGACCTAAATTCTGGACCTTGTCTCCTGGATGGCAGGGACATATGCCAGATACTTTCTAAACTAGGTGTTATTAGGCTGTGACCCTTGTCGTTATTTTTGTATGTACAACAATTCTTGTACGACATCCGCCGCTGTGTTACAAGAGCTAAGTTAAGGGAAAAAAGAGTTTGCTTTTAATACAAATTTGGGTCATACGATAACTCATTTAAAAGATGTCTATTTAATCATTTCAATAAGTTTAGGTATTAGAATTTTATGTGTTGCCAAAGAAAAAATTCCATATTTTCTGTATTTCCATTTTGTACCCTTATTTGTATTAAAAAAATACACAAATGACGTCATCATTGTCACACAGATGACGTGATATGTTAAACAAATATCTCGCAGAACGCCCTTACTAAATAAAAACTGACTTGTTTTAGAATTTTTGTCAAAAATCTCCGATTTGCGTAATAATGAATTTATTACTTTCATTTGCGCCATACTGTATAATATTCAAATCAATGATTTAAATTGTAGCCATCGTGTAAACTTTCAGACCTCATAGAATTAAGCTGCAAATGGGTAAGCGACTTCTGATTTATTTGTAGCATACCCTTTGGATTTAGTTTCTGCATTGTTATTCAAATATACATAGTTCTCCTTAAAGGCAGAATTTCGATTCGTACTTCGAAATACAATTTTGACGACGGCTACAATTTCCCTTCCGCTTGTAACTGAATAATAGCAGAATAAGTTGTTCTTATGTACAGATTAGTCTTGAACAGCTTCCAGATATTTTCATGATGGGGCATACGTACAAAATATGAAGGAACCTTTTTATAAAATCTGTTAATAAAGGTACCAAAGATATTTTAAATGTTTTTCGAGATATGTATTTTATTAATAATTGAAATAATTGAAAGATTTAGTTAGTAGTTAATTAATTGAAAAATATTAACTCCAAAATATCGAGGAAAAAGATACATTATGAAAATTATACCAGAAATGTGTCATCTGCAATAATAACATAGAAATCAATATTTACGTCGCAAATCAACGAATACCTTATAAATTAGTGTCCAATATTTAACTTAAAAACATAAATATGATATCTTGAACGACTTTTAAGATATCGACAAAAATAGTTATATCTACTATGCCCCTTTAAAGGGATGTATCTGCCTCACTATTTCGAAAAATATAAATCCGAAAATATCCAGAAACATTTTAGAACGACCATGTTTATTAATAAATTGAAACTGAATAAAGCTATATATTAATTTTCTCATACCACTTTAGTCAACTTTATTTAATAATATCTTCTTATTATTAATTTAGATACAGGTGCGCGAAGTCTGATTAAAGTTCAAACGATTGAAAAATGATAACAAGGAAATATGTACCTAAGTACGTTGTTACAAGTGATAAGAATTGTGCACTGAAATTTACAGTACTTCGAACTGATCACTAATTTAGATTTTCTCTTAATCAGTGAATCAGATAAATTTTTTAAATCAGGCACGCAACTCCGTTATCGTAATTATATATCTCCTTTGCCTGCCTGTTAGGCCTCTGAGGCTGTTAAAAAAAAAGTGTAAAAAATTTTAAATCTAAAAAATGTGAAAAAACTTTTAATGTTGTTGGTCCGGAGAAGCTTGGTTTCTTGGATACAAGGTTTAGGTAAAAAAACATATGCTTTTGTTTCTGCAAGGATTCACCAAAGCAATTCAACTTGTTACGGGGTGTTATCTAATAATAATATTGATCTCTTCTAAATTAGGACTTTTAGCATATTCTCGCAATCTCGTAAAACCCATATATAGAATGTTAATTTTGTGTCACAGTGTTGTAGGGGTGCCACAGTTGTTCGTTAAATGATCTCCAAACAAGAGGGTGATGTTCCTCATTTTCTCCAAAATTGACTCTTCTACCTCAATTGTGGAAACAAATTTACCTAGATCTATTTTCTTATTTTTTGGTCTCGATTAGGAAATATAATAAAATACATTGTTATATTTTGTCAACGTTTTGTTGTTTTTATTACGATGTCAATGAAATGTAGTAGGTAGTGTTTTTATTTTATTATATTTGATGACCTAATCCTAAAAAAAGATGGAAAAAGTAACAATCGAATGACACCTGCAATTGTTTAAACAGATTCAAATCTTCCAAAGTTGATGTAGTTTTTTAATAATTTTTGCATTGCTGATGAATACTCGAGTAGAAGAAACCAGACGAATTAGGTAAACCTCTACATACAGGATGGCCATGGCAATTAAAACAGTACACCTGAAATATTTTAGATGGAACAGTTTTTCCGGAAAACCCTGAAATATGTAGATTTTGCTTTACAGACATGCTGAATTTTTTTTGTTCTGCCTTAAAATTAATGTTCAAATTACGACCCATTTACTTCCATACAATAATAAAATCTTTGTTCAACCTTTTCCCGGATATTTTGTAGCATTTCAGAGATTATTTCATCACATGCTACCACTGCGAAGATCTTCTAAAGAGGTAGGTTTTGTTTTATAAATAACACTTTTTAAATGACCCCATAAGAAAAAGTCCAATGGTTTAAATCAGGCGATCTTGGGAGCCATTCAATGAAACCCCTTATACCAATCCAGTGTTCGGGAAAACGTTGATTCAAAAAGTCACGTACATCAGCTGCGTAGTGTGGCGGAGCGCCATCCTATTGAAAAAATACATCATTATCTGGGATCTGATCGTCATTTTCAATATTTCGAAAATGATAATTTGAATCCTTTGCTTTAAAATAGCGAATAATAACAAGTCAATGGATTTCACTACCTAGAAAATTCTGATTGATATAAAATTAGAACAAAAATACATGTAAAATTCTAATAAAACCTATGACCTTATCAAGACTTTGATGATAAACCTCATTTTTTAAAATTTAAAATAATAACCCGGGAAGTTTTTTAATTACTATTTGAAGCCTTTTTTTCGATTTATTTCACTGACACTTCCAACAGTTTTTTTACATTAATTTTCAGGCAGAACAAAAAAATTTCGGCTTGTTTGTAAAGAGAATTGAAATACCTTTAAAATGATGTGCCAACTTAACCCGTTGTGCTATTTAAGATTTTTTAAGGGGTTGCCACCCCGTTTAGAGGAAGGACCTTGCATCCTTGAATTTATGATTAAAAGATGTCCCCCTTCGACCTGTTTCGGGGTTTTCCGGAAAAACCTGTTGCAATTAAACTATTTCAGGTGGACTGGTTTTATTGGGCCACCCTGTATAAACGACGTGCTTCATGCCTATTATTGGCACGTCAATACATAAAATGCATGTGTGTCATTTTTGCTCTGGTTACACGTATCATTAAAAAACTTTACAACACAATAAAACAAAGTACTTTATTAGTAACAATAATAATTAATCTGTTTGAGCTTTCTCCTTAGGCAGTACAAGAATGAAAGTAGTTATATTCATAAATTCAAGATCAACATACTTTTTTACATGAACACAAGGAAATAACTTGTATTTTTGTAAAATTTGTAGGAAATATTAATAATAAATATATTTATTAAAACAAGTAAATCAAAAATGTTGCCATGCCACCAAGAAGGGTTTTATTTTTTTGCAGTTTTCTCAAAAACGGTGCATCCCATCGAAAAGGTGCAAAAGTACCTTTTCTAATTTACCCTTCCCTTTCAGAAATTGATATCCGGTTCTGAATTATCTTAAGAAAAAATATTTCTGTTTTTGAAATTTTGATTTATTCTTGGTTTATATTCAACTGAAGCACCTTATAACATCGCAGTATTTTTGTCACTATGTGTGCTTGCTCATCATATCTAAGTAATATTCAATAGAATAATAATTTACCTTATAATCTAAATCATCCTGCTGAAGCGCAAAATGCTCCAAAGTAACGTCCCCCTCAACATCATCATAAGAATATCCTCTTGTTGAAAAGTCAGTTCCACCAATGGGAACCCTGCACAAACTATACTCGATACCGCTGCTACCAAAATAGCTTTCGATTAAATTATTTTGAGCCTCTGCTGGTAGTAATTTTATGTTGATACCTGCAGAGTCCGTGAAAGCCCCACCAAATCCGATGATACTTTGATATTTTGTATCTTGATCAACAGTGATGGAGCTTTCTTCTCCATCAGTATTTTCGACAAAAGATCCGGTGGTACTGTAGAATCCTAATTTGGCCTTGCTAGTAGAATACACCTGATATTTTCCAGTAGACACATCCAAATCTGGAACGGTGTCACAGTATTTTGCGTTGCAGACGCAGACACTTCCATCGTCTGTTTCCCTAATATTACAGCTTTGACTGAGAACTGACGTTACAAGTATGAACAGTATTAACAATGGAACCACCATTTTCGTTACTGATTGGTACGTTCCACAAGCACACACTGGCAAAGCCTAGTAGACACTGTCTTCATACAACTTTTATCAAGTTTTAAATGTAAATTATTTCGTCTTATCGGTAACCAAGCACTTATGCTGAATGAGGCAAAATAACTAACGATTAATTGTTGTAATCAAGGATAGATAAAGCAGAAATTTTTTTAGTATCGAACCTAAGTATATAAAAATAAAGGAAAACGGTGAGACACCAGAATAAAAAAACAAACAAATTAAGATAATAGAGTATTACTCACGTCCGTCAACCTAACTGAGGTATTTTCTTTCACTTTCAACACCGTTAATAATAAGTAAGCAAATAACAGGCTTACGACGTATTTTTAATAAAAACCGTTAAATATTGTCAACAACACGCGAGTCATATTTCTATGGACCTATTAAAGTAGTCATTAACGGTAGGTATTGTTTCATGAACATATGTATCTAATCAAAAAGGAATAGTTGCATCTAAAATGATAAAGTATACAGTATTCTTTTAACTAATTATCTACAATGCGTCAACAAAGGCATAAAATAAAAAAGTTGTTGAAGAACGGATTTCAAGAAAAATCTCTGGGTTAATTTACAATTATTGTTTAAAGCTTATTTCCTTAGATCCCTTTTAATGACAAAAATACAAGAACTTCCAACTTTAATAGGTAATATCTTGCTGACTTATTGACAGTGTTTTATTAGCATTTCTTTAGTTAGAGTTAAATTCATTTTTACATCACTGAAAAGCGAATCCTTCCTTTAATATATGATGCGGAGAAAAATGAATACTGGCTTATACAAATTATTTTCACCATAACATGTTGCCATAACGATGAGTTCAGATGAGATAACCTAACTGGAAAATAATTTCGTGTTCTAAAGTATAATACTAATTGCTTTGATTTATTTCCGTTTCAAATAAAATAGTACGTAAAACCTAACAAACATTTAATGTCCTTGAAATTTATCAGCAATTAAAAGAAGCCTTAATATTAATTGGTCTGTTTTGCAGACTTTCGCGCCAGTTTCAGTGTCGAACAATTTCCGGAATGGTTGCCAGGTTGTCGCGTCGGTATAAATTTCTTTTCACTAGAACATCATCTGGAGTTAGTTTGACTTTCATTCCAGCATTCGTAACATAGTGTTCCGTCTTTGTCATTAGATCTTTAATTTTACACTTTGAAGGCTATTAACTTGAAATGGTCTTGAGTCTCTTGGAGAAGGGCCTGAAGGAATGTTAGATACTCAATTCGCAGGCGTCGCGTGGATCCTTTTTGGGTCTTCTTATACATTGTATCCTTAAGTTAGGAAATAGGTTATCTACTTTGGGAATGTAGGTACTCTATCGTGTAAAAATCATAGTTGCATTTTCTGCGTTGCCATGGCGAAATTTAGTTCTTTGACAAGCATACTATTAACGTCGTCTTCTTATTGCACAGCGGCTAGATCAATATCTACCCAAGACTTGTCTAGATTCGATAGTTTGAGATAAATATCGAGAAGCATTTCCCTTCTGTTTGTTTGCTTTCTCTCAGGTGTCTCTATGTAATTAGCTTAGGTATAAGTTGAAAGTGTACTTATAGAAGATTCTTCACATTTTCGCCTAGTTGCTTTCTGGTGCCTCTGGTCCTGACTTACAGAAGATTGCTGATTTTCATGTAATTATTGATACATTAACAGCTCCACAAAAAAGTCGAAAAAAATACATCACATCAGCATTTGTATAACCTCAAAAAATAGGCCCAAAAAACCCATAAATCCTCTATCCATTGACTATTCAAGTCCTATAATCCTATAAGCCCATAACCCCATAACCTCAAATCCCCATAACCCCGAAACCCTATAACCTCGACACCCATAACTAGGTAAGAAGGAGACTTTCGTTGAGGGAGCCTACGTTTTGCGCAACCCAGGAACAACGACGAGGATGTAGAAGGTTTCTGTTCCCTTTGGGGCGCTTTACTAGATACTGGGGATCCCTCATCGTAATTTTTTGCCGTGTGTTTGCTTTGATGGCATGAACGCCGTTATTCAGGATCTCTACCGGACGGAATAACTCCGTTGCCCACCGTCAACCACGTGGAGGTGCCCTGGATTGCAAACACATGAATAAGTAGTACAAAAATGATGTAAGAAGTTTCGATTAGTGCGTAATTCTATTTTTCACTGAGTTTTGGGGTTATGGGATTATTGACGATTATGGGTTTAAGGGTCAAGAAGCACGTATGGCCCTAACATACTGTGTTTCAGGACTTAAACGCGCATAAATTTCTTTCTTACCGGGTTATGGGTTTCATTGTTATGGGGTTTCGAGGTTACGGATTGAGGGGTTATGGGGTTAAATGGACCTCGTATTTACTACCCCGAGAACATGTGGTAAATCTAGTCAGACCCCAGAAGTAATAGGGTTGTTGACCAAATTTCAAAAAGTAGATAATATAATTCTACACGTACTAATTAGTGTGTATGCACAATTAGAGATTGAGAAATGCGTTGGAACAGTTTTAAAATAATTATTTAAAACAGATTTTTTAATAATATTTCAAAACGGCTGTGACGTCATAAGGGGTAAGTTGTAGTGAAATTATGTGTATATGATTGCGTAAAGAAAAAAATTGGAGGAAGAAGATGCTCTGTCAACACTGTCAGTAGTGTCAGTCTGTCAGGACATTGTCGCATAAAATATTTTCAAGTCTACAAGTTACTTTCCTTAATCTTAGAATTCCTTTATTAAGTAATCTCTTCCTTCAATTAGAATTAAAGCAGAATGTGTGAAACGGAATTTGTGAAAACTTCTTGGCAAATTTTACGGAAAATTGATATTTTTATGATCATGACTTGAATTTTTAAAAAGAGACGACCGTTTTAATATTGGCGAAATCAGAGGTATAAAAGCATTCGGGTAAGGATTAACATATTTTATGAATAATTTTATTGTGTTTATTTATAATATAAATAATAAATATAAATACCTATTTATTTACGGAAAATTATAGTGCAGTTCGGAAGTCTTATGGAGATAATTGGTTATGTGGAATGTGAAATGTGGAACAAAACACCACTTAAATTTTGTTGAATCCATTACAATCAGGAAATTAATAATAACTATCACAAATACTCTTAATTGATAGACTGCTATCACTAGTGTCACTACTGTCACTTTTGTTTAAAGAACAGGAAACAGGGCAACAGGGTTTGATGGACAATTTTGATATATTTTCATCTTCTTCAAAATTATGCAACAGGATCGCTACTAGCTTCTTGTTCAATTGCCCCTTATGACGTCAGACTAGTTTTTAAGTAACACAAAAATTCATAAATGATTTCTACCACTAATTTGTCATATATTTAAAATTTTACTATACAGGCAGGTTCTTTTATATAAAATCTTTGTATCAACAACAATTTGTATATGGTTTGTTTTTATAGTCAACATCCCTATTTTATCGATTTTTTTAAATTCTAAAATATGTTTTTAACACCTATTCCCTTTTTTAAAGAGTATATGTACATATTATAAAAATTAGCTAAATAAAATAAATTTAAAAATTTGTTTTTTGAAAGATTCTATCAAATAAAAACAAACAATGTCGCTCGATACCAAGAATCTAGAAATGCAAAATATATGTAATCTCACAGACAAGATTCCAAACTGCTGATATTGCGGGAAACACCTGCTCAATGGGCTATTAATTAAGAGTTATCTAAAATAAAATTTAGAAATATCTAAATGTTAACAGCACATACCTGACATAGTGAAATTATTAAATAATATAATCTTTTTATATTTGAATTAATTCAATGTCTTCATAATGTAAAAATCTGTTGTAAATATTTTCAAAACATTATCTTTTTTCAATTCAAGAATTTGAGCTAATAACCTACCTCTCAAATTTGTTAGTACGTGGGTATCAATTATTTTATTATTAAAAACTATTAAAAAGTATATGTTAGAAGTAAATATCAGGATAAAACAGGAACAAAGGTACTTATAATACCTATTTCAAATAATTTACTTATGTATCCGAATCAGAATATTTATTTCCACATTGGAAATAATTTTAGACTGTATACTATATCATCCTTAACACTAACATTAAGGTATTGATATTGTCGTTTCATGTGGAACGGTCTAATTCATTTTGTTACCTTTTCCACTCTGACACACTCTCGGGATGGCACGGTTTCCTGGAGGTTTTCAACTGAGCCTTGTTGCACTTGTGTTTTGCACGACACTTCGAATATGGTTGTTCTGGTATCTACATCACTGCATTTTAGGCTTTGCATCGCCTAGCACTGGTTTTGAGGGTTTCTGTGACTACTTGAAACATGGAAACTTCTTGGAGCTTCTCTACGTCTTCTATGAGTGCCTATGAACTTGGATAGCTTCTAGGAGCTTGCTGCAACCCTTGAGATCTTCACCGCAGGATTGAACAATGCCTGGGCGGATGAGCTACTAGAACTGAGGTCGAGAGAAATGTGCCCGTAAAAATATGAGAAAAATTTTAACAATGTTTTGAATTGTAAAATTTTGTAATTTATTGATTTGATTGATTTATTGATTTATTTATAATAATGTGCGATTTGTAAAGTGCAGAGACTTTATACAATGTAAATTTAGAACGTACTACACGTTCCGACTATATTCCGTTTTTGGTTACTGAACCACAAAACACCAGGGTCGACATTCGATCACAGGCCTTGATGGGTCGGCACAAGTCCTGTAGCGGAGTCCACCTTGGGTTGGACAATTGGCTTCTATAGGTTTTATCAATCTCTAGATTTTCGCCGATTGGAATTGATGATCGACTTGCAGTCTAACGTGATATTTTAGTTTTGTCTTGCAGTTCCCCAATTTGAATTTCGTAATATTCGGGTTAATATTCGGCTCTGCCAACAGCATCGGCCTCGTTGTTTGGGGGCGGCTGAGAACTTCTGTGAAATTTTTTGGAACTTGAAGTTGAATATATATATATATATATATATATAAATTGGTTTTCTACTTTGGCCGAAATTGCCCCTGCTTCGAGTAGTTGGTGACTG